TGATCATTTCCAAAGTCGGACCGTGGACGTGGTACATTCCCAGACGTTTCGCCGGCATCGTCAGTGAGTCATGTTGTTCTTAGCACCACACTACAACCCGTCAAAGAGACAAGTGAAGTTGATCCCTTGACCAAATGTGTGCTAAACAATTGTGGTATCTCTCCTTCCCTCTAATGTAAATCCCCAATCCTATATCTTCTTATGACCCTTTAACTATCAAAAATTTTACTTGCTTATTTAAATATTGTATAATGTGGCCTTTTGAGTGGATTTCATGGGACCTCTCCACACTCCACGCTGGCTTTCTCACCCCTCACCCCCATTCACCCTTGTGCTTGGAATGTTGATCAGAGTCTGCCATATTGTTACGCAGTCCTTCTTCCCTAGGTCTTATCAGAGTCTTCCTCTTGTCCCATAGAATCCGTCTGCCATCTCCCTGGTTCAAGTATTTTACTTGACCCCTGCTACCCCATCTGTGCTCGACGAGGCGTTATTTCATACACTCTGCCTCTGTGAGACTAAATTGAGGATAAAGCCCCTGAGTAAATCTCATAGTCAAGTCATTGCTTCATAGACCACGTCTGGGAATGTACCATGTCTACATTCAGACTCTGGAAATGATGATGCATACAATGTACTCCGGACAAGATACGTTCATTTAGGTCTTCCTACCAACATGACCAAGTTGCGAAGACAAGGTCAAAAAACTTTTTTGCAACGAAAGGAGACTGCCACCACACAAAAGGCCGCATCATCTTGGTCTTCATACCTTGTATTGCTATACACTAAATGTTGTTGTTCGGCTTCATCTACTCCACCCTCATACTGTTTCTGACACGACTTAATTCTCTCTTGTAGGCCAGCGCATCCATTTCTACTAAGACGGTTCCTTACGGCGACAAAATTCGGGCCTCACTCGATAAAGGTCACAGCGAGTCTGGCTTGCCGTCGTATCTGCCCGACCTTCGTCGACTCGAAGACAAGGCGTCTACTTTCTCTGCCCTTGCCACCGATGGCAGAGATGCTGGGGCTATTGGTATCCGCCCTTTCGGCAGTGATCAGCTCAGCTCGTCTACCTCAAGTCTCCTCAGATTGCCCATCGCTACAAGCCGTATCTCTGCCGTCGGTGCTCACGAACGCCATCTGCCCTTGACTGCCGTCTTTCATTCTGTCGGCGCAACACGGTCTTTGGCAGTCGCGGAGGTCACCAAAACCGGGCAGCGTCCCCCGCCTTCGTTGACTACACCAGTTCTCCGTGATACCTCGAACTCAGGTACACTTCTCTCATCGTCTGCTCGACAGAGCTATGGTGTTCACCTGACGCCCACTTGTAGTGAAGGTGATAAAAAGATGAGTCATTATGGCGACATGGGCATCACCGAAGGCAGCCTCAAGAGGAGAGAACTTGAAGAGGAGAGAAGAAGTATCAATGTCGATGAAGAGGAGCGTATGCAGGGAGAGGGTGAAGAGGAGGAGGAAGAGGAAGAGGAAGAGGAGGAGATAACAGTTAAAGCACATCAACACTCGGGCGATGCGGATTCCAAGGCCTCTTGCAGAACAAGTCTCTCGTCGTCGTCAGTCTCTTTACAGGAGTCTCTGGAGCATTCCTCTTTCGGAGAGGCGTATAGAACCAATTCCCTCTTGACTTCCGTGCCTCGGTCCACCACGAGCCTGCCTCGGAGCTCTGGTCGGCTTGATACGATCCAGACATCCGCACAATCCGCACAACAGGTTTCCACAGGACGACTTTCGTCAACTCATTCCGGGACCAGTCGGGCTTCGGTTGTCTGTGAAGTCGGCCCAGAGCCTGGAGACAATACGACGAGCCTCAAGTCTTCGGACACTCCGACTGACACTCCCTTCTGCAGATCGCCCTTGCAGTCTCCCTCGAGCAGTTCATCGTCACAAGCCTCGAGTCAGGCCATCTCTTTAACTAAGGATATCAAAACATCCTCAACCGGGTTGCCAATTGGTTCTCTGCTTTCGGCAAACTTGACTGGCAGACCTAGTCAGAGTACGTCTTCTAGGCCATTGAGGTCAAACGAAAATCCTGCCTGTCGGACAGCCTTTAACAGAGAACTCTCCGGACGAGATAGAAAGCCCGAGACTGAGGCAAAAGAGTCCTTCCAATCTTCCATGTTGCCGGGTCCACCTTCTGCCCTACCCTGTCCGAGCAAGCTACCCCAACTTGGCCTCATTCAGCCGAACCGAGTAAGCCAACTTCATTTTCCGTATACCGCACATTAGAGGCATTCTCTTCTCAAAAGTAACTTTAATATGAATTCTGTATGAGATGTATTGGTTTAAATTTACCTTTCCTAGTGTTTAAGAGGTTTTCAAATGTTATCTAAATACACTCAGTGCTAAGGATTATCTTATTACTGCTATTAACTTTTTCTATTGAGTCCATCGTATGACTTGTCTTGTTACCAAGTTGGATGGGAGATTCTCCGAATCATTTTAACGAGGCACTGTTGAATCGGCTATTATGACATTGAAATAAACGATAAATGAAGATTTTCTGCAATTGTTATCATTTATTTCAAGTTGTAGGAGGGATAACGCAATTCGAATCAACTTCACTTTATTGCCAACTGATCTATTTTGATTGTAATCTTTTTCAAGTCCACTTTTCATCATGTTGCAGTTAGTTTCACAATTTCAAATATTCTACACGTTCAAGAAATTATGCGATACATTAACTAAAAGAATCTATTAATTGACGGGACTTCTGGGATTAATCAAGTGTAAGCGACGGTTTGCACACGATACTATTTTATCTACTTTATTTCTCTCCATCCTGGATACTAGAGAATATAGTCCAGAATGTTTCTGTGGTGGGTATAATCCTAAATGAAGGACTTAAGGTCCATGTTGTGACGAGCTAAAGGGCGTGCTGTTGTTGATTTTAAGAACTAGATAGTTCAAATAGACCTGAAGAACACCTTAAAGATGGAGAGGTGAATAGAAATAAGAGGACGGTTCGAGGCTGCTGAACGGGTCTATAAGATGGTATCTCAAAGGGTCTGGTCTGAGTGTGACTTAAGCTTTTAAGACGAGGTCCACATATCTACAGGCTGATTGTGCTAGCCAGTCTTCTCATTGAAAAGACTTGACATCTAAGAATAGATATTACTACTTATTTTCCGTATCAGTACGTTTCGTAAGGATCAATACTTCTTAAACAGGTCAGTTAGGGTGAGAGGCACTGTTAGCTGAATTTCCTCTTTTGGTAGTCAAGGCTAATTAACATTAAATGGCATCTCAAGGTCTATTCATCGGATTATGGGGGAATTCAACTGTCATTCCTTAAGGCATCTTAAGCTATCTCATTTGACCAGGCTCCTACTATTTACATTTAGCTATGAATTTATTAGCAACATTTTAAGAATTATCAGACCACTTTTTAGCTCTGGTAAAACATTTTTGAATGAATATGCACGACATTCGACAACTTCACCCTTTTTAATCTCCTAAGCACTCATCTTGATTTTGTTTTAAGAAGCCTCTCGAATACGCCTTCTATGTCAATGTCAGCATGTGTGTGTGTGTGAGTGGGAGAGGAAGAGCGAGAATGAGATAGATATTAAGCTTTTAGGCTTATCACACCAAAGGGTTCCACTTCACCGGAGAATTTTACCTTTTAAGGATCAACATTTTGATAGGAAATGCCGTCTGTTCTAGTGCTCCCTGAGCGTTGAAGTGACTTAAAACAAATTAAAGATATTAAGACCAAGATCA